GTTTTCGGGGGCAGGGGGCGCACATGGATTCGAACAAAGCTAACATATCCGTGAGTGAGATGCACAAAGTACAATATCCAGTTGTCAGAGGTGGGCATTGCTGTGGGAGAAAGAGGAGAGACTGAATTTTTGAACCTGCACAGGTGACATTTGTGCCAAGCCCTGAAGGAGGAGGGGTAGAAAGTGGCCAGGAAAATACATAGCCAGATGAAGACTCCAGAAGCCCGGACAGCAAGTGCAAAGGCCCTGTGGTGGGGACTTGCCAGAGACATGCAATGAATAGCAGGAGGTGTGTGGCTGGAACTTTTGAAACAGCACAAGGAAGGTGGTGTGACCCCAGGACATCCTCCTGGTGGTGGTGGGGAGGGCTGTTCTGTTCCAGGCAGTTCATTCTACCAGCCAGTACAGAGCCGATAGAGACTAGACCCTCTGCACCCTACATCACATCACATACATGAAGGTGACCTTCGGGGAGCAGCTCAGGGCCAGACCTGGAAGCAAGCTGTTGGGAATAGCAGGCAGTGCCCCTGGCCGGAGGGAAAGGCAGCGGCTGGGGACACGCGTTACCCCAGCTTCGCTCTCGGTTCAGTCACTTCGACTCTCACACCAGGAAGGGGAAACTGGAGACAGAATCTCTTGTGTCATTTTTAATTGATTTCTTCAGCATCCGGAGAGGGGCTGGCATGAGGCCAGGGAAGCAAGAGCCGGGGGAATTCATCAAAAATCGACCCACTAGATGACTTGATCTGATGAGATAATTAGCTCCCTGTTATTCTCCAGTGTCCGGCCTCGGCTTCTGACTTCACCTAGAGGAAGCGTGTCCTGGAGGGGGCCACAGCTGCCCCGAGGCCGTGGGCATGACCAGGAGGACCACCATGGGCCGTGGCTCAAAGGGCTGGAGCACATGGTTTACGTGCAAGGGCCCCAGGTTCGACCGGTGGCGCTGCATGGTTCTCCCTGCTCACCTAGCCAGGAGTAGCCCCAAGTGCTGGCAATCACCGGGACTGGGTTCTCTAATCATCTCTGTTCCCCACTGAGCCCGGGACCCCCATTATGGGCTGCAGGTCCCAGCCGTCTTGTCCCTGACTTACTTATGTGTGGCCCCTCCACATCTCAGACCTAAAAACACCCCCGGAGGGAATGTGGATGCCGGCAGCTTCGCCAGAAAGAGGAAACCGAGACTTGGAAACTCAAGCGAGATGTGCTTCCAGGAGCTCTCTTTGGACAGGCTAACCTGAGTCTGCCTCTGCCTTTGTCCTGTGATCGGGGTAGGATTTTCACTGTCTGCGCCTCCCTGGGCCTATCGGCAGGCGACTCTGCTGAGAAGCGGTACAGTGCTCAGAGGAGCAGTGGGAGCTTGGCCAACTCCCAGGGAGCACTGTGGAGGGTTGTTTCTGGTGCGTGTGAGAGAGGCTGCTTGTGGGGGCCCCCCCAGGGCTGTCCTTGGCATTATTCCCACACTTAGTGATGATAAGAAGAGCCTGTGCATTGTAGCAGGCCCATGGCCCGGCACTGAGTGTCACGGCAGGCTCACCCAGGCGATGCATGGACTTGGAAACAAGCAACATGGTTGACACACACATACACATAAATGCTAATATGCTTCACCTCCTTTCAGCACCAGCTAAGGTGAGAGAGAGAGAGAGAGAGGGGAGAGAATGGAGAGAGAGACCAGAGTGAAAGTACAATGAGTAAAGACATTTGCCTTACACACGGCCGGCCTGGATGTGATCCCCAACACCCTACATTGACCCCTGAGCACTGCCAGGGTGATCCCTGAGTGCAGTCAGGAGTAAGCCCTGTGCATTGCCGGATGTGGCAAAAAAAAAAAAATTACAGAGAGTGCCAAGTGCACACAGGCTGCAGCTGTGAGAGCCAGTGACACCATGGCCGACCGCATTAAGTGGCCGTGTGCGCTTCTGAGGGGCAGGGGTGCCGAGGGCCGTCTGCCCGGCAGAGAGTTGTCTTTTTCCAAACCTGTGTCTTTATTTTCAAGTCAGGCCCTTTCTTTTTATTTTTCATTTATTTTTACAAAGCTGTTCATGATTGGACTTCAGTCACACCCATCCCTCCACCAGTGTACATCTCCCAGCACCAGTGTCCCCAGGTTCCCTCCCATCACCCACTCCCACCCTCTGCCTGCCTCTATGGCAGGCGCTTTTCTTCTCTCTCTCCTTTTGGGTGCTGTGGTTTGCAATGTTGGTACTGAAAGGTTATCAAGAATATCCCTTACCTACGTTTAACCCTCAGCTCTTGTGCTGCCTGATCATTCCCAGCCCTTATTCTCATAGTGGTCTCTCCTCTCTCTCATTTACCCTCTGCCCCCCACACACTTGTGGTTAGTTCCAACCATTGACTAGTCCTTCTCACCCCTGTTTTCCCTGGCCATGGATATTATTCTCCTAAAGGTAAAGGTAAAGGCCCTCCCATTGATCATCAGTTTGCTCGAGCAGGCCCAGTAACGTCTCCATTGGAGACTTTGTTGTTACTGTGTCTGGCATATCGAATACGGGGAGCTTGCCAGGCTCTGCCATGCGGGTGAGATACTCTCGGTAGCTTGCCGGGCTCTCCGAGAGGGGCGGAGGAATCAAACTCGGGTCGGCCATGTTGGCTGCGTGCAAGGCAAACGCCCTACCGCTGTGCTATCGGGCTGGAGCTATAGCACAGCGGTAGGGCGTTTGCCTTGCACGCAGCCAACATTATTCTCCTACTATGTAATATTTTATATCCCACAAATGAGTGCAGCCATCTATATCTGCCCTCTCCTTCTAACTCATTTCACTCAGCATGATAATCTCCATGCCCATCCATTTATAGGGGAATTTCATGGCTTCATCTTTCCTGACAGCTGCATAGTATTCCACTGTGTAGATGTACCATAGTCTCTTTATCCAGTGGTCTGTTCACAGGCGCTCGGGTTGTTTCCAGATTCTGGGTATGGCAAGTCAGGCCCTTCCCAGAGGGCCTGGTGCAGATGGCAGTGGCCTGGCGCTGCAGTCCGGGCATGCGCTGGAGCGAGCGCAGCCGGGAGATGTGGGTTTGGGAGTGCAGCCCTCACTTTGCGGCCTGGGACTTTGGACCCCACTTTGGCCGTGTTTTCTCCCGTGATCACAGAACTTTCACCTCAGGTGCCCTCTGGTGTAGAAGGGGACGATCAGCACCCACGGGAGGGAGTGGCTGCGCGAGTGGGTGGGCTCTGGCGTGCGTCTCTTGGCGGGTCACGCCAGGACAGCCACATGCCAGCTTAGTGTTCACTCATACTCTTCCTTCATGCTCACTCTGCAGAGGGGGAAACTGAGGCACCGCGTCACTCACTCATCCAGGGCCTCCAGCATGAAGCTCCCTGATCCCTTGTGAGGGGCACAAAGCGGGTGCTGGTGCTGCCTCGGTGTAGCTGCGGCAGGGAGGAGCGTTGGACCAGGAGAAGACCCCACTTTTGTGTGTTGGGGGGGTGGAGGCAGGGAGTGGATTGTGGCCACGGCTTTAGTGGGGGGTCTGGGGGGCTCGTGCCATCAGTTATAGAGCCCAGGAGGTGCCCTTCAGAGGAGGTGATGTGTGTGGCAGAGGTGAGGCTGTCAGACAGAATCTGGGGAGGCTCTTCCAGGTTTACGGAGGAGCAAGTACCAAGGTTCTGGGGTCGGCTTCATGGGAGCAGCAGAGGCTGGAGAGCCATGGGACAGAAAGGGGCACTGGCGGTGAGTTTGGATTGTATTTCCAGGGCACAGACTGGGCAGGGGAACGGCACTGGGAGTCAGGAACCCTGCACAGCCTCCAGCGAGTGGCCCATCACTCCCGACCCAGAGGCCCCTGCTGGTCTCATAGGAAATGAATGACCCGGCTGGCTGTCCTGGGGGAGGGGGGAGGAGGCTGAGGAGTCAGGGGTGGGAGGTGCAAGAGACCCTCAGGTACCTGGTGCCATCCAAGAGGGGCTGCAGCCGACACACTCCTATGTGGGGAGCCGGGACCCCGGAAGGGTTCCTGAGCCCTGAGTCGGGTGGGGCCAGGGGCCGGGCAAATACTGTCTGCAGGAGTGCAGAGACTGTATAAGGCTGGGGCACTCGGCTTCCTCCCTGCACGCCACCCTTCTCCCCTTCCTCCCCCCTCTTCCGCCTCCCTCTCCCCTTCCTCCCCCCCTTCCACCTCCCTCTCCCCTTCCTCCTCCCTCTCCTCTTCCTCCTCCCTCTTCCCTTCCTCCCTCCCTCGCTCTCCCCTCCCTTCTCTCTCTCATTATTTTAAATAAATGAGACCAAAGTCTATCTGGACAGGACCTGAAGACCTATTTCCTCTAGGAGCAGAAAAATAGCCTTGATGAGCAGGAGGGGAGCATGGCGGAGACCTGCACCGCACCCCGGGGGCTCTCCCCAGCTCCCATTTGTGGCCAGCCCGCCCTGGGTGGGTGGGGGGGGGTGACATGCTGAGTGACAGCGACAGCTTTTTGCCCTCAGCTTCTTAGTCGTCAGTTTTCCCTTGTCCCTTGGTTTCCTCTGTACCTATAAACCAGAGGGGTCTCTTGCCTGGTGAGGAGACCCATGGGCCATCACCCCTCCCCCCCCCCACACACACACCCCAGAGGGAACCCTGGTAACTTCTGTGTCTCCCTGCTTCTGCACCAGAACTGGAGGTCCACACTGGCTGGTTGCTGGAGAAACGTAGGGGGGATGGTACTACCCTGAGACCCCCCCATCCGCTTCCGCTATCTCCTGTCCACCTCTGCCCCCTCCCCAGTCCCCGACCCAGTAGAGGAACATTCCGGGAATATCTGTACCCCAAATCAGGGCTTCTTCCCTTCCCACTGGGAGATTTGTCCATTGCGGGGGTGTGATGGTCAGCCAGGCTGATGTGGCCCGGGGCTGGCCAGACGCCCCACAACTGGACGCTGCTGCCCGCCTGGCCTGGAGCTCCCCAGAGCCTTAGTCCTGCCTGTTCCCTGCCCGCGTCGTTGTTCCTCTGGGCTCCTGGGCGGGCCGCCAGCACTGACCGGCTCTCTTCTCCTGCAGGAGGGGCCCGGAAGTGGTGGACTGCAGGGATGGCCCCCGCGGGCCTGCTGCTGGCCGTGCTGGGCGCCGCGGTGCTGGCGCTGCTGCCCGGGAGCTCGGCGCTGCTGGCCAACCCGCGCTACAAGGGCCGCTTCCAGCGCGACCGCAGGAACATCCGGCCCAACATCATCCTGGTACTCACGGACGATCAGGACGTCGAGCTCGGTAAGCGCCAGACGCCCACTGGAAGGTCCATCCCGTGCACACCCCCCCCCGCTCCCCCCCCCAAGCTGAGGTCCACTTGGGGGACACAGCAGTAGGGCGGGAGGCTGACCGCCCCTTCTGGGGAGGCCCAACCAAGCTGACCTTTGGGGCCAACGGGGAGCTCGGAACTGACCAAGAGGGGCGCGGCTTGTGCCTGTGTGCAAGTCATGGGCGTGTGTGCAGGCGCACGTGTGTGCATTGTCTGCAGACACTTGTGGCCCCCAGCTGCACTACTTAGGGCCCACCTACTTAAGACTCCACCCACTTAAGACTCCACCCCCTTAAGACTCCACCCATTTGGGCCCCACACACTTAGCGCCCACCCACTTAGGGCCCACCCATTTAGAGCACACACACTTAAGACTTCATCCATTTAGGGCCCACCCACTTAAGAATTCATCCATGTAGGGCCCCACCCACTTAAGGCCCCACCCACTTGGGCCCCACCCACGTAAGACCCTACTCATTTAGGGTCCATCCACTTAAGACTTCATCCATTTAGGGCCCCACCCACTTAAGAATTCATCCATGTAGGGCCCACCCACTTAAGGCCCCACCTGCTTAGGGCCCCACCCACTTAAGACTCCACCCACTCAGGGTCCACCCACTTAGGGCTCCACCTACATAAGGCTCCGCACACCTACATAAAGCTCAACCCACCAAGAGCTCCAGGCTCCATGCGAGGTCAGTGGGCTGTACTCTGTCACCTCCAGGGACAGGAAGCTGGTCCTTTGGGCACTGACACAAGACTGGGCCTCAGAAGTGAGAACTCCCTCGCTGCCTCTGTCCCAGTTCCTCCCTCACAGTGCTCTGGGCTGCCCTGGGGGAGCCCTGACAGTGTGGTGAGGAGGGCTTTCAGTCCCCAGACCCCTAGGGTCCCACTGGCCTCACGCCCAGCACTCTGTAGCCCCCTCTGGAGCCACAACTCAGGCTCCTCCTCTGAGCTCTTGGGGGGGTCTTCATGCCAGGAGGCTTTGGCCCACGTTTTCATCCCCAGGAGGACGAGATTCCCCCCAAGTAAGGTCCACCCAGAGTGGGTCCTCCAGAGCCTGTCCAGGACCTGACCCTTGGAATTAGACCCACTTCCGCCTCCTCTACCCTTGGGGCAGGACCTCACCTTCCCCTTTGTCTTCTCCCCCCCACCCCCGCCCCCGAACTTCCTGAATATATGGGTTCCGTCTCTTCACCTTACGCCCCTCACAAGCAGGTTCTGTTACAGAAATACAAGGCAAACCACAAAGACAGGGACAGAGTTCATTCAAAATTTTCCAGTAACCGCACTGGGGAAATAAAAAAAAAAATCTAGTGATATTAGTTTTAACATGTGTGACTTAAACCCCAGATATCTGATTTCCTAGCATCTCAACCTAGCATCAATATTTTAAAAAACCATCGATGGGGTTTTTGTAGAATTGGGCTTTTGTACTCTGATGTGTGTTTCAACTCAGGATAGCATGCCAGCAGGGCTAAGTAGCTCTCAGGGCCCTGGGTTCCATGTGTCTGGTGGCTACCGTCCTGGGCAGGACCATACCATGCTGGACGGTACCCAGCCTTGCCCCTTGTCCTTTTGTGTGTGATTTCCTCTCTCACCCTCAGTTGCCATGTAGTCATGGGAAAACTTTCAAGTGGTGGACATAGCATGTTCAAGGGCCCTGAGGTAGGATGAAGAAGATAGATGGAACCCGAGCCAGGAGGCCTGCAGAGAGAACTTGGGGGCTCCGTGGGAGGGGGGGTTCATCAGTAGCAGTCCAGGTAAGGGGAGAGGTCGGAGCGTGTCTGTCCACTCTGAAGGGAACCTCTGAATATCGGTGGTGGCCACAAACATGAGCTGACCGGGGCAAGCCTTTGCCACTCACTGTGGAGCTGTGGGCTGGACCCGGCTGGAAAGCTCCTCCCTGTTTGGAACCATTTGTGAAAATATGAATCAATCTTCTTGCTGCCAGGAAAGGATGATTTATGTCAGGCGAGTCACTGTATGGAATGATTGGAGCTACTGATCACAAATATAGATTGTTCGTGGGGAGCTTATCTGCACCGAGAGAATGTGTAGCACGGAAGCCGTCGGCGCCCCGAGCCGTTAGCAACAGTTTGACTTCTGTGATCCCATGCTCCCGGGGCCCCGCGGCCTACGCTGTGTGGCTGTGGCCCCAGAGAAAGCGTTGCTGGTGGAGTTTTGCAGAGAGCAAGTGGGCGGCAGAGGCCCCTCCCCCCACACACTGGGTCTGGCCTCGTGCCCCGGGAAACCGGGAAGCTGGTTTGGGCATTCTGCTGTTGTGGGTGAAGCCTCGACCCCGTGCTGGGAGTGGGTGAACAGAGGACGATGACTCCAGCCAAGAAAGCCAGAAAGACTCAGAGTTAGAAGTGAGCTGAGGAGCTGGAGCGATAGCACAGTGGGGAGGGCGTTTGCCTTGCACGCGGCCGACCTGGGTTCAATTCCCAGCATCCCATATGGTCCTCTGAGCACCGCCAGGAGTACTTCCTGAGTGCAGAGCTAGGAGTAACTCCAGTGCATCGCCGGGTGTGACCCAAAAAGAAAGAAATGAGCAGGGGCAGGAGGACGTCAGGAAGGGGCACGGGAGAGGCCAGGGGTGGACTTTTAGTCCTGGGAAAATGTACCCGGCTCAAGAGGCATCTGCGCGGGAAGGCTGTGACTTGCAGTCCGCCCCATCCTGCAGGATCCCCTTGGTCAGGTGCCCTCGGAGCACCGAGAGTGAGAGCAGGAGCCCTTGGTGCAGGCAGGAGTCATGAAGGGCCGGGTGGGCGGGATGGATGTGGACGGAGGAGGCTGGGATAAGAAACAGAAGCCAAGGACCAGCTCTCAGGGACCACCCCATGGTCCAGTGGGGAGGGTGCCTGCCTGGCATGCGGCTGACCTGAGCTGATCCCCGGTCCCCCATGCGGTCCCCGAGTCCGCCAGAAGTAATTCCTGAGTGCAGAGTCAGGAGGAACCATGACTGGTTTTGGGTGTGGCCCAAAACCAAAACACAGGCTGGAGCCATAGCACAGCGGGTAGGGCGTTTGCCTTGCACGCAGCCAACCTGGGTTTGATTCCCAGTATCCCATATGACCCCCTGAGCACCGCCAGGAGTAATTCCTGAGTGCAGAGCCAGGAGTAAACCCTGTGCATTGCTGGGTGTGACCCAAAAAAAAAGAAAAAAAAAGCCAAGGAGCAGCCCTCAGTCCCGGGCCTGGGCAAGTGGACGTGCCCTCCAGGGACGCTCACATCTCACGGCCAGAAGCCAGCGCTGTGATCCCTGGGACTCCGCCTTCTGGTCTGCTGTCAGCTGCTGCTTTGGCTCTGGCTGAAGCCAACAGAAATGTTGGGGTCCAAAGAGAGGGTCGGGGCTTAAGATGCTCACCTTGCGCTGGCTGAGCCCAGGTCTATCCCCAGCACTGCATAAACTGCCCTGATCCGGTCCCGGCCAGGCCAGCGTCAGCACAGAGCTAGAAGTCAGCCCAGAGCTGGTGTTTGGGTGTTTGGGCCAAAAAAAGCAAGTACCAGAACTGGCGCAAAGTGGCCCAGGGGCTCATCATTGGTGAGCACCGTCCCTCCCCCCAACACACACACACCCCTCTGTGGGTTCCAGCACCAAGATCAAACCTGTGACCAACCCGAACAGGCGTAAGCTGGCCCTCGTCACTCAGACCAGCCGGGGTCCTAAGAAGCAGTTTCCCCTCTGCCGGGGTCACAGCTAGGATTTCAGCTAGGGTACAGTGAAAATTCGAACCACATGCCAGGGAGAGGGCTTGGCGGGGTGTGGGCCATGCCTGCTGGGGTCCAAGCCCATCCCCAGCACTAAGTGATCCCCCGAGCACCATCAGGAGTTGCTCCTCCCCCAAACACCGATCAAGGAACGGCCCCTGAGTCATGCTAGGAGTGATGATGATGATGTTTTGTGGTTGTTGGGAGTTCACACACCCAGCGGCGTTCAGGGCTTCTGCCTGCTCTGACATCAGCAGGGCTGGGGGTCTCCATGGGGTGCCGGAGAGTCACCCCGGGCAAGCTGCATGCAAAGAAGAGGCCGTGAGCCCTGGACTATCTCTCCAGCCCCACACAGAGCAGGATTTGAGCTCAGACCCAGTGCTCCACTCCACCGGGCGCCCAGGCTGACGTTAATGGGGCTGGTGTGTGTGTGGGGGGGAGGGGTGAGTTTCCACGCCCGGGATGTCTCCATCTGCACCGCCTCACACACAGGAGTGAGCGTCCTGGGAGCATCCACCATTCTGGGTTATGGAGGTGGAGGCTTAACCTACCCAGCGACCCCCCCAGCCCCTCCCCGAGAGCCCCCTGCCCCAGCATCTCGCAGCCTCCCTCCCCATGTGACCCATCCGGGCAGCCCCCCTGGAGGAGGCAGCCGTGCTGCTCCAGGAGGTGGGGGATGGGGGCAGGGTGGGCTTTTTATAAACCACGAGACAGACCCAGATCAATAATGCATGTTCCCAAAAAGGCCAGCACATTATCTCACAGTTGGCTACAACCGGAGCACAGAGGGTGGTCCTAAAAAATTTATCATCTGCTATTTTCTGCTCCTCCGTGCAGGAGTGCGGAGGGTGCTCGGGGCTGCAGGCTTCTCGGCTAAGATCATTCCAGGCTCCCTTCCAGCCCCAGGGTGGGAGGAACCGTCCGGGGCCATTAGGGTCTGGTTGAGAGGTTGAGAGCGCCCCCCCCCCCCCCGCCACCCAGTGAGCCTTGCCAGCTTGCTCGTGCAGGCGGGGGGCCAGCAGTCCATTTCTCCCTCCTCCACATCTGTGTCCACAGATGTGACCCTGCCCCCCTGCCCAGGGAACTGCTTCCAGGTCAGGCTGCTCTGGAAGGGGCCATGGAAATAATGAGCTTGAGTATTCGATATGCCAGACACAGTAACAACAAAGTCTCCAATGGAGACGTTACTGGGCCCACTCGAGCAAATCGACGATCAACGGGAGGGCCTTTACCTTTACCTTACCTTAATCGGAATGGG